AACTGGGGCGGATCACCCGCTACATGGTTCCAGCCTGCAGTGGCTGATGGGTACAGACCCAACAATGATTATCCCCCAAGCACAGGCCCTGGGCCTCCAGCCCCATGAAGTTATGACAACTACTTGTGCGGCCAGGGATGCTATTCGTACAGCCTCTAAAGTTATTGTTAAGCCATCGCTATGGTCCACCATAAGACAAAATGAAAGTGAGAGCTTTACACAATTTGTGGGCCACAGCCCATCCCCCTTTCTCCTCTGATTAACATCATGTTGGTAGAGCACCAACAACTGTTATAAGAATGTTCTTGTTCAGAGCACCTTGTTTTCTATTCGAGTTTTCTATTGAAGATTGTTCTATTCAAGTTTTCTTTTGAAGGTTGTTATATATTGTTATATTTTACCTAATTTAATTGTGCATAGGGAGGGGGGATATGTGGTAGTGAGGGTCTGGCGCCCGGAAGATATCGCGTTGTACGGGAAGACAGGGTCCCCCTCCCGATAGCCAATAGCGTTTGGTGCCCAGGTTATATAAGGCTGTTTTTCCCGCCAATAAACGCCATTTGCCGTCCACCACATAGGTGTCAGCGAGCTGATGGACCGAGCAACTTGGGATTGGTCACCGTGCCGTTCCCAAACCAGGTCGCCATGCTTACGATAGGCAACAGACAAGAAGAAAGAATTCTTTAATTGTGTAGTAGTACAAGGGAGACGAGAATATTTGGTCCACAGCTGAATGACTTGAGTGCCCTGGTAACGGAGTAGACTGGGAAGATGAAGTAACTGAATGCCTTCTTTGCTTTGGTCTTTGGTGCTGAGGCTGCCTCTCAGGAATCTCAGACCCTGAAGGTAAGAGAGAAAGTCTGGGTAAAGGAAGATTTCCCCTTGGTTGAGGAGGTTCTGGTCAGAGATTGTTCAGGTAAATGGATCTTGATGGGAGGCACCTGCCATAAGTACTGAGGGAGTTGGCAGAAGTGGCTGCCAAACCACTCTCTTTGAAAAGTTGTGGAGTATGGGAGAGCTGCCTGAGTACTGGAGGAAAGCTAACGTCACTCCAGTCTTCAAAACTGGCAAGAAGGGGAACTACAGGCCAGTAGTCCCTAGGAAGGTGATGGAACAGCTTTTTCTGGACGTCATCTGAAGCAACGGGAAGAGAATAAGGTAGTCTGGAGTAATCAATATGGATTCTCACCTAGGGGAAATCATGCTTGCCAAATCTGGTAGCTTTCTCTGATATCATGAGTGGCTGGATGGCAGCAGTATATACCTTGACTTCAGCAAGACTTTTGGCTATCTCCCGTAACATCCTCATGGGTAAGATTTGGAGGTGTGGGATAGACTAGAGAACAGTGAGATGGACTGAGAACTGGCTGATTGGCAGAGCTCAGAGGGTTGTGATCATTGGTGCAGAGTTTAGCAGGAGGCCTGTAGCTAACAGTGTTCCTTAGGAGCTGGTGTGGGGTCCAGTCTTGTTCAACATCTACATCTGGATGTAGGGATAGAATGCATCCTCAGCAAGTTTGCTGTTGACACATAGCTGGGATGAGTGGCTGACACATCAGAAGACTTTGCTGCCATTCAGTGAGATCTGGACAGTCTGGAATCTTGGGCAGAGAGGAACCTGATGAGGTTCAACAATGGCAAGTATAGAGTCCTACATCTGGGGAGGAATAGCTACGTGCACCAGTACAGGTTAGGGGCTGACCTGCTGAAAAGGAGCTCTGCAAAGAAAGACCTGAGTATTCCAGTGGACAGCAGGTTGGCCATGAATCAGCTGGGTGGTGATAAACTTGAACACAGAAAGTTCCATATGAATACAAGGAAGAAATTTTTTTCTTTGGAGGTTACAGAGAACTGGAACAGGCTGCCCAGAGAGGTTGTGGAATATCCTTCTCGAGATATTCAGAACCTGCCCGGATGCTTTCTGTGAAACCTACCTGCTTTATCAGGGTGTTGGACTAGATGATCTCCAGAGGTCCCTTCCAACCCCTTTGAATCCTTGGTACTATGATACTATGATTGTATAGGAATGAATCTAACTTTGCAGTGGCTCATTTTGAGTCAGTAGAGAAAACTGTCTGAAATCAGTAGTGTAACTTAGGAAAACCTCTCTATACTTAAAAGAACACTGGACAGCTAGTTTGGAAGCGTGCCTGGCTTTTAAACTGTTTAACTTAGCTAAGAATTCTCTCACTTCAATTCACTAGAATTCTTGTGAAGAAAGAGCTGTAGGCTACTTAAGAAAGGAAATGTCTCATTTGAGACCTCAATATGAATTGTGCAAGCCCTGTAAAAGCATTTATCTGCATGATAAAAGCATCTCATAGAAAAAATGTAATGCACCTGGCATGGTTTACTGCAGTGTACATGGCTAATATTTTGTAAAAATAACATATGAAGACACAGCCTATGCTTTCTGGATCACTTACCTTTGTGATTTTTAGCAGCATCAGGTTTGATTAATGCCAAAGTGTGCTCCTGAGGGAAGAAGAACTCTAATTCCTTCTGAGCATCATTAAATGAAGAACTACCATGCAGCTGATTAATAGCTAAGTTGTCGACTGCATACTTCGCACGTAAACTAAGAGTATTAAAACAGTGAAAATATTAAAGGGAATAGTTATCTTGAGCTTTAACTATGACTAACCTTAACCTAATGTATTGAAATTGATCTGGCAAATTAAATGCTCTGTGATGTCTCTGGAGGTGTAAGAATCTGCCTACAGAAAGAGCAATCAAATTTTTAATTAACCACATGAAATACGATCACTTTCCTTCTTGTCATCTTATTATGTTTCCTAGGTAATACCAGTTTTTGCTTAATGAAGCAATGCTTCTGGCAATAACAAGTAAGATGATATCATAGCAGCTTATTAGAACAATACTGCAAGCAGGTGAGAAAATAAGGTGTTAATTCATAAAATATGTGAAAGAAACTCTGTCACAAATAACATAATCCACCAATGAAATTTTTTCTTAATCTAAGAAAACAGGCATTTGGTTTAAAAAATAATGATGCTATTTCAAAACAAAAAATTGAATACTAGAAGTGCTGTTACTATAATACCTTTTATCCGATAAAACTGCAGAAATATACATCAGCTTCCAGATGATGGCACTATAGTTATACCAGTTGGAATGTGATATTCATTGAGATGAAGAATATGAAGGTAAATTAGAAGCTGAGGGTGACAGTTTACTATTTTGTATACTACCTGTTTGGATTTTTCTTCTTTGCCTCTTCAATAGTCTTTGGGCCTAATAAATCTCTCCAGTGTGCTATAGCATTTTGTCGTGTTAGAGCAAGTACAAGTGTTGGACCACTGCAAAATAGAAAATTGGCATCCAAAACATCAAATATTAAACTCTGTGTAACTGGCAAGAAGAATTTGATCACATGTGGATGAGGCAAACAAAGCTTACTACTGAAGGATTTTCAAACCAGTCTCTTTTTAAACAGCTACAGCCTGGTAAAACCTCATGGAGTTTAAAAGAATTTAAATTTCAAAGTTACTGTTACCAAAATGGCAGGAATGTTACAGAATTGGGCTATATCTTTATTATTAGACACAAAAATGCTGATCAGCTCCTAAGATTTTGTATGCATCCCAGCCACGTTACAACTTCATTGCAAGACAATATCCAAATATGATTGGTTTTTTTTTTCCACTCCAAAAGCCCAGCACACAACCTGAATAAAGATTACTCCTATAGACAATCTAAGTGCTGTTTTCCAGAGCATAACTCAACTGTTTTCATTCAAATCAACCAAACTGACCAACATCCTGCAGTTGTGAAGTCGCTGGTAATTTTTAAAAAACTTATTTTTCTACTTGGTAATTATCTCTTTTTCTGCAATTGTCTGATTCTGTTTTGAATTTTACTAAACTCTCAGATATGATGGCCGTGAAATATTCAATTCAATTATTTGTTGTGAAAATTTCAGTCTCATTTATAAATCCACAGTCTCATGTTCCATTCACCTTACCTGGTCATTTGTTCTAGCAGTGCTGGGAAATAGTCTTCATTTTCATGTTCTTTATAAAATTCACGTGCTTGTTCTTCAGATAGGGTTATTTCCTTCTGCATTGCTACCTCAAAGCCATCATCTTTTATGCTTTGCATAATGGAATCTGTTTAAATTATTGAAATAATGCTAAATCACTATCCACTCATCAATTCATACTCTTGCAAAGAAATGAAATGGCCTTCCAATAATAATGTGAATAAGAAAAATAGAAAGCTAATTTTAAGCAACTGCTAGATGTTTTTGGCAGCTGCCTGGATGCTCATAAAGCTGATCCTCACTCTCTTAAGGTTTTCTCTCACTTTAGAAATCTCAGTAGGAATTCCTGACTGAGAAATTTGATATGCGCTGCTGTAAATAAAGGAAGATACGGAGAATTTGTATAGGCAGATATTCATTTAACCAAGTCTTACAAGAACATGCTTATAAATATCAGGCACAAGTCAAAAGTCTGATTCTCTATATACAGAACTGTAAAATGATTCTTCTTAGCAAAATTTTCTTGATAGTAATCAAGAAAATAAATACATGGGAAGATCAAAATTCTAGTTTTACAAATCTTTGTGTTTATGTCAATTCCAATATGGGAATTCTTGAATTTGAATAAGAAAGCTAATTATGATCTAGCAAGAAATACAAATATATGTAAGAAGAAACTTGTTTGGATGGAGCTTCATACTAATGGGGTAGATTTTCTGATCCAATCTGTACCTTGTCTGTAGAAACATATTTGTGTGCAGCAGTGTCTTATGCAACATAGCACATCCTGAATCTTATTTTTTTCACACTTGTCATTGGTCTACCCTGGACCTGGCAGTCAGGGACAGTATCAGCTACTTTATTATGGTGGGAAGTATGTTATATTATAGTATACTTTGAAAATCCCAGCTTCTCAGAGATATTTTCCGTAAACATTATAAAGATAGTCTTAAAATATCAAAGGAACAAAATGGTTTTGACATTTGTATTCTAAATATATCAAACACACGAGCCATGTAGTTTTTCCTGATAAAGATTACTGCCAACTTAATGCTGAGCAGAAAAGATGATCTACCTCTTTTCCATTAGTAGAGTTAGAATTCTTGAATTCTAGTATGAGACTTTTTATTTGCTCTAGATGGAAAACGTAGTTACTAAAACTTACCCCGTCTTTCCCTTAGGACACAAGGTCTAATTAAGGCCAGCGTCTTTTCAATTTTTTGTTCTGTGCTCTTTCTATCAAAATTTGGGAAGAAGAAGGCGAGTTGCCTGCTAGCATCTTCTAAACTGTCTGGCACATCACATATATTTGATATAGTCTCATTTTCTTCAGTTCTTTGCAGCCTAGAAAGACATAGTTATGCCACCTTTTAGGCAGGTTACAAGAAGTTATTTTTTGACACTATTATTACTTTGACATTTTTTGACATACTTGACATTAGAGCAAAACAGACATTCCAAGATATCATGAATGTGAACAGCAAATCCTTGCTATCTACTTAGGTATCTCAGTTAAAAACAAACAAACAACAGCAACAAAAAGCCACCAACCTGCAACCTCTCCCACTCGTTTGCTGGCTTTTACACAGTGATCCCAGGGAATACAGCATACTTCAGTCACTGTCTTTGTGAACTAGTATGAAGTGGAATTGCATGGACTACACTAGCTTTGAGGTACAGCACTGTTCCTTTTAGACAGAAAACTCATTCAAGTCCAGTTCTGAATTAGCAAGAAATCAGCGCCCTTTGCCTGTTATCCTGGGAAGCATGGAGTTAGTATGTTCCTCAAGAAGCATATCAGATATTAATGTACATATGTACATACCAATCAGAGATGTAATGATGGTCTTGTGGAAGACCAGGTAAAGAACTCTGACTGCTCCCTGAGTCCCATTCACATAGGCATGCAAAAGTATGTAAGAATAACTCTTTGTTTATTGTTTTTGGAATACTGTAACTTAACCACATATTCCAATTAACAGTGTTATTTACCTGTCTGTCTCTTCAGCCTCAGCCTCACCAGGCATGCTTTCACTTGTTTCATACAGTTCTTTCCAGAGAGGAATAGCATCCGTTGCTTTTTTTTTAGTGATTATCAGAATATGGCACGGTCCACTCATCATAAATTGAACAAAATCATCAAAATCAGGCTAAAAAACATAATTTTTGTTTTGCCATGAATTTCACGAACTCTGTCATCAGAAGTGAAGTAATACTTTGTTAAGTAACAACACTCCAGTTCATAAAAGGCATTAGTATTGATTATTCAAAACCCAGTCAAGCTGTTTGAAAGACTTTTTATCAGTCATTTGAGGAAATAAAACTAAAAAAAGTCTAAAATGCAATTAATTGAGATAAATGAAGTAATAAAAGTAAATTAAGCAAGCACTATATATTACTCCAGTTTAAAGTGCAGATGACAAGAGAGAAAATGACTTAGAAATTAATCCAACTTGATCAGAAGCTATGCTTGCAGTAGCACTTACCACATGCTGCAATACAATTTCATGCATAATTTTTGAAACTAAATCAACTATCTCATAGGAAATATAGAACAAAATATTTGCAAGAAATTTGTGTGCTTTTCCATCATTGTCTTTGCCAAATTCTTTCCACTCTTCCAGCTTCAGTCTTCAATCATGTGAAAGACATTTTAATCACAAAATAACTTTACAGGCTCTCATGATTTTCTTGTACTGGGGGCCAATGACAAATAATGTAACAGGCTTCTCAACAAACACGGGGCCTTCTGAACTGCTCCTGATGGTTCATAGCAGTTTTCTGTGAACCTGACTATTCTAATATTAACTGGGATTTACTGCAGTCCAGTAGTGCTGTAATATATGAAGCACTGTATGCTTTCTCTTTGCCTTCCTCCTGTGTCTCCCCACTGCATCTAACTAATCTCAATTTCGGCTGCTGTTCTCATGAAGACAACATATACCTGTATTTCAAAACTGCCTCTGTCCATCTAAAGTAGAATCCCAGGTTGCAAAACCATCTCTTCATAATTCCTCGCATGCTCAGCCTGTTACTTCCTTTCTCTGTTTTTCTTTCTTTCTTTGTTACTTTTCTTACTTTGTTTTCCCCTATGGCTTCAGTATGAACAATCTTATTTCACTCCCATTCACTTCTAGCACTGCAGGAACATTTTCTCAGCTTCTTGTTTTGATTATATCAACCCTTTATTTTTACTGTGGTCCCTCTGATAATATCAAACAAACTAGCTGTCTCCTTATAATTCCAGACTACCTTACACACATTTTAAATAGAAATAAATATTTACTCAGATGCACTAATTTTTGTTGTGATACAAACCCTTCTGTATAGTTAACTTTAGCTAACTTCTGCCAAATATCCAGTTGCTTCTTTGCTAAAACATTGTCATTTGATGGTAAACAACATCACTTCATTGATTCCTTGAACTATCTGCAATTTCCCCTGGTATAGGGTAGAGACAGAAAAATAACCTTTTCTGGAGATGTTTTATCTTTCTGCCTGTGCCCGTGCTTATTGCCAGTACTGTCCAGTGAGAAAAAATTGTGAAGGAAAGAAAAAGCAATTCATGCTATCACTTATTTCCTGGCTGGAAGACATAGGCCATGATTAAGGATCAAGCACATTCTGATAAGAGAAAGAAGTAATAAAATATTTTAGTTTTTAATTGGAGTTTAATATAACCTAGCAGAAATGTCAGAGTGCTACCAGGCTATATTTGTAATAAGGTCGGTAAGAAAAAAGAGAGAGAAAATTTTCTTTTTCTCTATGTACTAAATGTCCACTGATTCAGTTCTTCACCATATTAATAAATTATAGTCTAGACATCTAAAAACACATACAGCCACACTGATATACCCTACCCATTCCTTTTGTTCAGGTTTTTTCTTTTGTTTTTGTTTGTGAGTGGGGTTTGTTTTTTCCTACCTGTTCTCTTTTCTTGTTGTAGAATTCTCTGATTTGCTCTTCAGTTAGCATTTTCTCTTCTGATGCTGCAATGCCAAAGCCTGCGTTTCTAATCTGCAATTATTCAGTCATTACTCAGTGGCATTTGATGAAAGATATATATAAAATCCTATGTAAATCTAGAGATGATTGATTATGGATGCTATTTTAAATCTGAATTATCTGAAATATTCCAAATATAACATTATGTTTGCCTAAACTAAAATCCCAGCTTTCCAAAGCCCTTTACTGAATTCAGGATAACAACGTTCACCATGTTGAAGTTTTTTAAAAGTACAGTGCAGTGCAATGTATGCATTCATGCAGTGGTCAGTAATCCTTTTATTTAACATCAAAATTTTTTTTTTTTACTATTGTAAATGATAAACATGCAACTGCTTCTAAAAATCGGTTGTAATCTGCATTATAATCACAGTAACCATTGAAGTGAGTGTTTGTCACTAACTGTTGCAATACAGACAGGCTGAACTTTTTGTTTACTAGACATGAGGAACAGCAGATATCAAAAATAAGAGGAACAGCAGATATCAAAAATAAAATGCATTTTACGATTAACTGTTTTTAATTACATTACTGCACTAAATTCAATATGCATTTGTGTGATCTGTATCAAAATTCATAGTCTCACCAATAAGAGATTTATACCATATATTTATATTGAAACAAAGACAGCACTATTCAGTCCCATATGCTGATATACAAACACTCTGCTCTTTAAAATCCCCTATGATGCTGTTGAGTTTTCACATTGCATTGCAAAGTTTGTAGGTGGAAACTGTAATGGTACACATCTCATAAGGCAACATACAGGTAGAGACAACCAACAGCTGCTCAGCTACATCTAAATTGCCTTCAAACACTGCCTGCTCTTTCTGCTTTTATTGAGCCTCCTATTTTTCTGGTTAAGATGGAGAAAGTGCAGAAACTGGGCATAAAGCACTGATTTTCCTATTTATGTCACACTTTCTCAAAATACTTTTTCAAATTGAAATGTTATCCTGGTATATAGTGTTATGAGCAACAAATTTTCTGTTTGTTTGTTTGTTTGTTTGTTTTGCATAGATATTCAAATAACTATAGGAATAATATACATATATACTGTAATACTACAGTATTATATTCTGAAAGGAAAGAGAATTTCTCTTTTCTTGTGTGATGACTTAAATAAATGCAGAATCCTTTGATGTACTGAGATTCTTATTAGTGTCCAGTGTCTGATTATAGTAATTGCTAGTGCACACAAATCAATTTACAGGCATATGCTAAGTCATTTACATGCCTATACACACTATGGCACAACAGGCTGATTAGTTGCTCTATGTGTGCTTACAATTCTTAAAGATGCTGTGCAGTCAGGAAATATACCTTCTGCACCTGAAAGGATTAACTTCACCACTGCAGTTTCTAGATCTCATTTCTATTACAGTATGAGAAAAAAAGGCACCCTTCTGCTTGTGGATTTCATGTGTCAGTGATCTCCACAGTATAAATCCATGTCACAGAATCACAGGATTGTGGGGGCTGGAAGGGATACCTAGAGAATATTGAGTTCACCCCCCTGCTAAAGCAGGCTTCCTACAGCTGGTTGCACAGGAAAGCATCCAGGCTGGTTTTGAATATTTCCAGAGAAGGATATTTCACAATCTCTCTGGGCAGCCTGTTTCAGTGTTCAGTCACTCTGACAGTAAGGAAGTTCCTCTTTGTGCCCCTGTTTCTGCCCACTGCCCCTTCTATTATTGTTACTTGCTACCAAAAAGAGTCCACTCTGCTTTGACTTGATTCCTGCACTTATAAACAGTAATTAAATCCACCCTCAGCCTTCTCGTCCCCTGACTGACCAGTCCCAGCTCCCTCAGCCTTTCCTCATGATACAGTTGCTCCAGGCCCCTCATCATCTTTACATATATGTATATATATATATAATATGTCATACGTTACTTACTGGCATAAAATATTAAAGCAACAGTATCAATTCAAATACTGTATTATTTCAGGGCAAAATTAACTTGCTTTTACTATCCTTAACAGAGACGCATTAATAAGCACTGCTGCAAACCCTGGAAATAAATCAGGATCAATTTGATCTTCTATCTTACTGTGTCACCTAACTAAAAATAGTGAATGAATCTTTTCAAATTCTGCCTACCTTTTGTTTAATTTCCTCTACACGTCCCTCCGAGACATCATCAGGTTTTATAATTCCAACAGAGTACATGACTTCTTCTTCTGGAAAACACAAAAAATCATGTAGCAATGAATACGTATATCAAAATAAATATATAGCTAAATTTTCCATTACTTACAAGTGACTCTCTATAAATACATCACTATTTTAGTATTGAGATGATCAAAAAGTTTTTCCAAGAAATAAGTGACTCCAGCACATAAAGCGTATCTTAAAGTCTGGGGCAGTCCTTGGTCATCTCTAGAATCCACATTCCTGGTGAATTTTGGTTTTTTTCGGGTCATATGGTAGAGAAATGTTCTACATGCAGCTAACTGTGGTGCAAAATCTACAATTTAAGATGAATGCTTTCTCTAGAAAGCTTTCCTATGAGCAGGACTAAATGTGAAAAGAACAAATACTACAGTGAAAATCTCCTATAATTATTGGAGACTTCCAGTAAAATGCACATTTCTTGTTAGTAGATGTTGATTTCCTTTGCACTGTGTCATTTGCCATAAATAACTGCTGAAGTAGCACCTACTTGCTAGCACAATCTAACATTAACACAAGAGGTGTTCCTGCTCAGACATGCTATTACAGCATCTGTAGCATACACATAACTGCAAAATTAAAGTGTTCAGAAGAAAATAGAAACTGTATCTTTGTAGAAAGTGAGGTTTACATTTAAGCATTAAAATGTAATTCAGTAAGATTTCAAACATTGCAGAAGCAGTTAATGACAGCTCTAATGGAAACACAACACAAAATTTGTTGCCAATACTAGAAAACACTCAAAGGCACCTGCACATGGTAAGCAATGTATTACAGCAGAGTATTAGTGCTTCAAAGCTTCTGAAGGATTCCTTAACCTGGAGCTGAATCCAAATTTAAACTCTTTGCCCTGCTTTTGTTCTAAAATTGACTTCTAAAATAAATCAAATATATTTACCCTCAGGTACAGTCTCCTCAATAGACTCTTCTGACAATTTCTCTTCTAGGAAAACAAGTTCATCCACCTAGGGTAATTGTGAAAACACAAGTAAATCACCATTCTGAATCTAAAATTACAAAACAGCATTAGATCTTTACAACACTTTTTTTCTTAAAGTAATAATATATTTGCTACCCAGGAAAGCCTGCAATTTGAAGGAGGACTTTGGGCTAGCCTGATTTTCTGTAAGTGATCTATAGTTTGTTTAAAGTTTCTTTTTACTGAATATGGAAAAAAAAAAAAAAAAAGACTTAAAAAAATAAAAAGATGATGAGTTTGACTGCTTTATCTGCTAGTGACATTTCGTTAGCAATCCATTCCTCCATTTCTCTGAATAATATAGCAATCTATAATTTTCCTCCAGTTCTAAAAAGTAAAGGGATATTTCTAAAAAAAAACAGAAAAAAAAAGAAAAAATCCATTTACTACAAAGTAAAGAATTTTAAAAAAATTAAGCATTACAGAAAATAACAGGCATTGAGAGAAACCCATAAAATGTTGTAAAAATACTCATTATATATATATATATATATATATAATTTTTTTTTAAATTTTTTTTTTGTGAGTACCTCGGGGCGTTCCTTCTGTCCAGCCAGAATTTCCCTCTCTTCTTGTACTAGTTCTGTTACTTTCTTACTTATAAGAGGAGCATTTGCACCTCTCACTATTGTAATGATTTTGCCATTCTGTGAAAGAGGAAAATAACACTCATCGTCAGTTCTTGTCTCCTCTTTATGCATTTACTTCAGTTTGGGAACATGCTATATTTTGTGAGTTTTTTGGTTTTTTTAATTTCCCCAGAAATATCACCACTTGTGCCCAGTGAAGTGAATACAAAAGACACTAATTTCTTTGCTGGTTCAGAATAAATCTTTTTCATCTTCACTTTATCCTTTCTTTTTTTGTCTAATTCTATGTTTGTTTCCAGATTTACCAAAAGAAGTAAAAAATAAAATAAATGCAAATAGCTAGCTCACAATTATAAGGGTCAGCCTTTTTAAAATGAAAGAGAGCAGATTTAGATTGCATATAGGGAAGACATTTTTTGTGATGAGGTGATATGACAGTAGAACAGGTTTCCCAGAGAAGCTGAGGATGTTATGTCACAGAAGTTTTCAAAGTTTGAACAGGGCATCGGTCAACCTGATCTAGTGAAAGATGTCCCTGTTCTTGGCAGAGAGGCTGGAACTGGATCATCTTTAAGGACAAAATATCCATTCCAGAGTAGCTAAATGTTGGCCGTTTATGTGAAGCAACCCCAGAAAAAAACCTGATCTCTCAGTCACAAACTACCAAAAATGTGGCTACCACAAAGCTGTGCTGGTGCTACATGCAAACACAACAGAAATGTGCTCAGGAGACACAGATGCAGACCTGGTAAAAAGCCTTAAGTAAACAACATCTGGTAATAAAATCCTATCTACTGTAGAGTGTAAAGACGTGACTTAGACAGTTTTATATTTATTTCTAATCTACTGAAAAATTAATGCAAAAATAGTTGATACATTAATAGAAACAGATGCAGGGTACTCACAACACAAAAGAGAAACACGGGTTCACATTTATTCCTAAATGGTTGCAGAGTCTCAATGCTGTCAGCTTCTGCCTACAGTCAGATGAAGAAAATTACGTACGTACTTGTTTGTATCTATGCATATGTATATATGTACGTAAAATCTTTTCTGCTTGGAAGAAAACTGCAGCCATATAACATGATACATCACCTCAGTAATGTTTTCTGCCACTTGCTGGTGATGAAGAAAGAACTGGTTTGGTCATGTGAGGTTGGCCTCCCTTCATATTACAGCAGGTACTCATGGAAAAACGTCACACTAGCACTGTTTTTTCCATGTATAAACATACAGAAACATGGAAGTGGTACATGCAGTCTTGACAGAAGAAAATATCCACCTTACTAAGCTCTTTGTGATGCGGTCAACTGAGTGAAAAAGCATTTCAGATTAGAAAATTTGGGGAATATTAACTCTCCTTCTACGATAATTTTTTTCCAATTGTAGTACCATTTCTAATCTGCCTCTGAAGAAAGTCTTATAAGGATATTGTGAAGAAAAGGCAACCAGGCCAAAATTGCAATGACTTAATTGATGGATGTAAGGAAAGCAAAACGAAAACACTGTACATACAGACAGATAAAAAGATGCATTTATCATAAACTATACTTAAGTTCTCTACAGAATTTACATCCTTACCACTGCAAAATGCAGCACATCATCTTCACTAAAGTCATTCTTCAGTTTTCTGAATAAATTTGCCACAGCTTTGCAAGGGCCACACCAAGCTTGATACACATCTATTACTAAAATATAATGTTTTGAAGTTATAAACAGCTGACTTAAGAAACTTTTAAAATTAAACGTACTTATGAGTGTGTTGGAATGGGAGAAGAAGATAGTTACCTATACCATCCAGTCCTCTTCTAATCAATAAGTACTTCATATATATATTGAGTGGATACATCATGGTTTCCTCTTTTATTTCTATTACTTTTGACAGGAGAGATCTACTTTGCAATACTGTTCGTGATGATTAATCCAAACAGCTACATTTCTTTCTTATTTCTTTTTCTTTTGATGATTATTTTTCCCCCCACTGTTGCTTTTCATTCTTCTCAAACTCTTTATTCTACATTTCCCACCCCAGGAGCTCGTGCATATAAATCCTTCCCCATCATTGCTTTTCTGTATGTACAATCCAATTTCAGATTTGTTCCCTGTGTACCCAAATACAAACCCTCAAAGATCCAGGAGATTTTGTTATTGTTCTCAGAGTACTGGAAAAATACAGAAGATGCACTCTGAAAAATGCTGACTGATTAACTGATGAGTATTTCTGCATGGTATTAATTTAGCCCCCATGAGATTTTAGGGAATACCTTCCACAGAAATGCCCTAACAGTGATCATAAAAAAATACTTGAAATGGCACTTACTAAACATAAGTATATAAAAGTGGATAAAGTAATGGATAATATGATTTGTAATGTATTTATTTATTATAAAAGACAACATTTATTCATAAACACTATTTATATTTAAATATATTAACATAATTATTGTTTAGGAGATAGTATGGCACTAGTCTTAGTAGCTTTCTGTATTAGAGATGGGACGATATATGCAAAACTATCAGAAAGCAGTAATAGTCAGTACCTACTACACCTTTCATCAGCAACATTTCATCCCACTCATTTTGGTTGCATATTGTCATCTGAAATAAAATGAATTGACATTTTAACATCTTTGAAAGACAACAAACAAACAAACAAACAAAACTTTTAATGTTTAGAACCGATCGTGTAATTAGAATTTATACCTGAAGCTGGATTTCTTTCTTCTTGCCTGCCATCTCCCTGTACAGGAGGGAATTACAGGAAGCACATCAAAACTTGAAGAACATTTAATAATTTTAAAGAAAAGTGAGCCACATCTGTGACGTGTAGAACTGATTTTTTCAACTTAGCACTGTATTCTGATTCCCTTAAAACTTAACTCCTCTGAAGCTCCTATAATGGTGGCAGTTTGAACTTCACATCAGCATTGTGTGGAGCAATATGAGACTTGCTAGCAGAACCAACACAGCACAGGAAACTGAATAAAAGTTAGCTTCTTAATCTCTTAGGATCTTTAGTATTCTTTGGCCTCAAGCATATTTCAAATTCATAATTGCTCTGATAAGAATGACCGAGGAACCCAGGATGAGATGACAGCTGCTGTGACAGTGAACCATTTCAGAAAACTAATGATTAAAGAGCTTCAACTAAAAATGTCATTAGATCAAGCTCCTTGTCTTCTGGAATATATGTAAAGCAATGATTTTCATGTGTCCCACAACTGAACTGCCAAAATGAATCATGATGCATTCATCGTTCCCATCGTTAATAAAACATACCCTTCTCTCTCTCTCTACCTCCCTCTTTTTAATAGATATTTAACTTCGATCTGAGTGGAAAAAACTATCTATTAAATTACATACTTGGATGAAGTTTGATTTCAGTTTGCAGACGGATGTTGGCTGAATGATAAGTGTGTCACTGGATCAGCAGCAGAAGTGGAGGTTTTCACAGCTCTTGGTTAAGATAGTAGACTTTGTCATGGGAAAAAGGAAAGTGCCACCATGATTGTCACCTCTGTTATCTGTGACAGCTCAATCAGCAAATGAGTCCAGAGGTAGAAGTATCCTGTCATTCACACTGGAGCTGCTCCCTTCAGAGCAAAGACAGAGGCATAGAGACCAATGCAAAAGACAACTCTTGCCTGGTGCCTCCTCTGACTATTTCACACATGAAAATAGACCTGGGTGCACACTCATGTACACTATCAAAATGACATTAAAAACACACGATCTTTGCATACACACACTCAATACCTTAGCACAGACCTTCATGCACACATATAGGAATGTTCTGGGTTTCTTCAGTCTGGAGAATAGGAGCCTCCAGGGAGACCTTATCACTCTCTACAACTACTTGAAAGGAGAGCGTGGCAAGGTGTGGATTGGCCTCTTCTCCCAGATAACTAGCAATAGGATGAGAGGGAATGGCCTCAAGTTGCATCAGGGGAAGTTCAGGCTGCACGTTAGGAAAAATTTATTCTCAGAAAGAATGGTGAGGCATTGGAACAGGCTGCCCTGGGAGGTGGTGGAGTCACTGTCCCTGGAGGTGTTCAAGAAAAGAGTAGATGTTGCACTGAGAGAGGTGGGCGCTCAAGGGTTGATGGTTGGACTGGATGTGATCTTTCAAACCTTACTGATTCAGTGATTCTGTGATTCTATTATTACCAAGCACTTGTGAGATCAGGCCGTGCCCCTGTGCTTACAAACAGGCAGACACATACATAGCAGCCTGTGCATTGGATCTTGTGTATAACAGCAGATCCCAGGTAACAACCAGCAGTTTAGGACACACACCTCACCACACAAAGCCCCATGTCCACCCCTCATCACACACAGTGCCCAGAGCACCCACATCTCTGCCTCACCTGAGGCCACCTGTCTGCCAGCACCTCCCAGTAGCCCTAATGGCCACCTGCCCACCCCTCCTAACGGCCCTAACAGCCACCTGTCTGCTGGTGCCTCCCAGTGGCCCCTCCCAAAGCCCAGAAGATGAAGGTTAAAGGCAAGTACCAATCTTTGTGGAGCTACAGGTTTAAAAACCACCACAGGTCTAAGCATCTCTAAGCTACACACATCTCAATCTGTGTGTTTTTCCTGCTTCGTGAAACGCCGGTGCTTTTAATTTCCTCCTGAGGCCCTGTCTGGGCACACTGAGTGCTGTGATGTGCTAGCACCTTAAGAACACCTAGTTCTGGTGAATTGCTTGTCACTTTACATAAATCTTTAAAGACTGATCACCAAAGCATGACTTGCAAGGCCCCTTACTGAAGAACTCATTTTATTTCTTGAAACTAATACGAAGAAAAAGGTAGGCCAGTGTCACGTAAAGGTGCTAGAATGGAATTTCTGTCCTAAAGCAAAGTCATCCCAAGCTGAAGTGTGCTCATTTCACAGCAGAGGGAACGAGGCAACTTTTCCACAGAGCTGCTGAAGTTTTCAATGCTGAGACTGTGCTGTGCCCTGACACCTTGGATTACATTGATACTATTTTATTTTATTTTTTTTCCAGTGGAAAACTCCAGCACTGAAACTGGGATAAATTCTGCATTGGCCTGCTTGGAAGTGGGGGAGTGCACTTACATAGTCTTTCTTTCTCAGTGTGAAGTGGGAAAAAAATCATAATAGGCTTACAATATTAGAGCTACACAAAAAAAATGAGAGATTAAACTCACCCTCTAAGCAGAAGTTTAAGCTCCTAAACATAGGATCTGTTTTTGGAGTTTCCTTTGCAAACTGCTTACTGCTCTAGCCAGACCACTTTCTTCACAAGCACATAATTTAAATTATATATATATACACACTAAAAAACTAGTGTTGAAGAGAAACATTAGAAAGAGGTTCTGATGTGTGTTAAAAGGCTGATACAGCCTGTTCTCTACCCACTCAGCTAGAAAGCATTAAGTTTTGGGTATTTTGGATATCACATAATATTTAATGCAAAGGAGTGTCATTTGTAGATTTGGTATTTTAAAATGTTTACCTCAAAAGAAGAGGCTGATGCTCATCCTATTCATTTGCAGAATTTAGAAGCAAGAAGTAAATGAAAGTTTGAGTTGAGTTGTTTGCTGATCTGCAGTGAACCTCTTCCTCTTAGATCTCGTGCAGTAGAACCCTCATTTCTTAAGACTGTCAACATTTTTGACGAGCAGTTATGTTTACATAGTACTGCCCACTAATCGCATGGTTGAAGGTTTGGTGGGATAGGGAAAGGGAAATTAAATTTAAGAGCTTTGGTTATGGAAAAATATTTTCTCCATGTTTTTATCTTTCTATGCTCCTCATTATACCATACTAGTTAGAATTTATTTTTGGAATAACAGTCAATGACTGTTTCTTTTCTTGATCCCTTGGGAGATGATTGTCTACACAGACCTTGATTGAAGGTTGTACCTGATTTCTGTGTCATGTTTTTCCCCACGGGAGATATTTTATTCAGTCAGAGTGTTTTAGCTGCCAGCTTATGCAGTTTCAGTACAGTTTGTTGATTTTATGTGGTGTTATTCAGTGATAAACACTCTTAATAGACTGCAAATCTTCACTTTTGGTGGGACAAGTATAATAAAAAGATGCCTCTTTAGCTTATAGCTTAGAGCTCTGTAGAAGTCTCAGAGAATTTAATAATGACATGCTTAGCTTAACCAAACCAGAATTTTTAGTGGTTGTTATAAACAGCAACAGAGAAAAGGGATTAGGAATTTGCTGTCTTTTTTTTTTCTTGACCAAAATGATTCTGAAAATGTGCTGAAAGTATGTAGTGGATAAAACAGAATGGGTTCATGATGAATGACTGTGCAATTCTTTTGAGTAACTTCACAGCTATTTCACTCCATTTTGAGCTTACCAAATGATTTGTGTGCTCTTTGTCACGAGATATCAATGCCCAGAGTGACACAATTTCAAATGATGAACATTCTTTTACAAAGTAGTGAAAGCTATTTCTAGGCATTGCTGAGATCAGCAAGTAACCTTTGAGATTAAACTGGAGGTGGATCTCCCCTGCAAATCAGTCTTTTAATATGTCCAAATGTATGCCTGAGTGCCAGTGCCTGTGATGACTACCTGCTAATAAACACACTGAAGATCTTAATCACCTTAAGGTATTTATGATCTTTTGTCTCTTCTGTAGCTGTATAGTCTGTGTGCATGCTGGTGTTGCAGGTTATTCAATCCATGCCTTTTACTTGATAGATTTCATGGATTTGTGCTGTTGTTCCTCTTTTGCCTTCGTCGGAATTCCCTCGAGGATTGTTAGTAATGAGAGAACCTCTGATCTTCTCAGCTCTTGTGCAGACCTGTTAGCTTGGCAATATAGCAGAGCATGATGTTTGGAAGCTCTGTATGTGTTTACTGTTTTGTTTCTGCTTTGCCCACTGGTAGGTTATGGATCTGAAAGCAGTGGAAGAGCTTTCTGGTTTCTTATTTCCCTTCTTCTTGGAGAATACAGAAAGAAAACATCTGAAAGAGTGAAGATTTTAATACCTTCAAACTAAAAACAGTGATTTTGATTCAGAAAGCTGCAAAATTGTAAGAAACTGCTGCATGCTGTTGCATGTGCAGATCTGCAGTGCACAGCTTGTTGCGGATATAAAAGTTAGAACTGTAGGAGGTAGAACCCTATTGATGAACAATGAAAAACATAAAATAAATGAGCAATCTAGGAAATTCTGCATTAGGACTTATTGTAACATATCAGCATTTCTTTCTCAAGATGAGAGACCAGATGACTTCAAAACCAGGTACTTAGCTTCTAGTTAGTAGTCCAAGACTACTTGTATGTTATAGTTGTAAAGGTTTGAGGGGTAATTAATATTAGTTTCACCCACAGGTGGTAACTAGCACAATGCAATTAAAAGCTTGATTTCAGAGGCTGATGTGGGTCTGTTACTGATAGGTGCATTCCCCTGAAATGCCCTGAAGGCAACATACAAATGTCCTAAAGGATATTGCTAATACCTTTCAGTTTGAACCACAGAAGAGATGTTCATGAATACCAGCATGGAAAATATATATCTTCTATATATGGGCATTAATCCTCCCAAGTAATGTGGCTGTTGTCTTTGGGACTTGATGCCCTGCATCTAGAAAAATCAGGGATATTTTATTCTACATTACCCTAGAATCTCAAAATTATGTGAATGACAATATTAATAGCTGTAAAATAGCAATGTAATTTTAAATTGCTGCTATTTTAGAAGTTTTTACTTAGTTTTGGTCATTCACATGTAAATATTCTGATGTACTTGTCATTCTTCATTTGCAGATCATCTTGTCTTTTGATTGTATGAAACATAAGCAACATCTTACATAATGATTTATAGATTCCCTCCTCTTTAAATGCTCTCTTCAAGTATTGGAAGGTCTCCCCAGAGCCTTCTCTTCTCTGAGCTAAACAATCCAGTTCCCTCAAGCTTTCCTCATAGGAGAGGTGCTCCAGCCTCTCCTATGATCATCTCAGTGCCCTCCTCTGGACCTGCTCCATGAGCTCCATGTCCTTCCTGTGCTGGGGGCCCCAGGTCTGGATGCAGTGCTGAGGATGGGGCCTCACAAGAGCCGAGCAGAGGGGAACAATCACCTCCCTCTCCCTGCTGGGGGAGGAAAGTAAGGGTAACATAAAGAAAATGGAGGAAATATAAAGAAACAAAACCAAAGCCAAGCAACACAGCAGTGTTCGTCATCCTAGGAAAGAGCTGAATGGGCTCTAATCTTCTGTCACTAAGTGTAGCAACTAACAGCCAAATGAGGTTATACAGGTACACTGACTACTACTATGGATCAGAATGCAACTGTCTTTCATAGGTCACTGACAGCTTTGTGTGCCACCTCACGCCACAGATATCCACACCTTATGTCCACAGGTGATTTTGGTTGGACAGATGCTGAATCCCAGTGGCTGGAAATTTGTATATGAACTTATAAAGGCTTTCTGACATCTTTTTGCTCAATTTACTTACACCTTTTCATCTTCATTAATTTTTGGGAAGAATATTTAATGTCTTCATATCTGGAAGATCTTGTCAAGAACATTTAAACATTTTTTTCTACATCTCACACTGAAGCACACCCGACCCTGCCACTTGATCTATCTAGCTCGCTTTGCCACCTGATCAGTTTATGGAGGCATAGAAAGAAACCTAATATTTTTATGCAGGTATGAGGAAGACTTGAATACAGAATCACAGAATCATGAGGGTTGGGAAGAACCTCTGGAGATCATTTCAAATTAACCCTCACCTAAGAAAGTTCTAATGAGTAAATCTGATCTGGGTCATATCCAGGCTAGCTGAAAACAGACTAATGATTTACTTTCTGGCAGTGTGAAATACACTGATTCACCAGTCCTATGTACAAGTTTCCCTCTTACCCGTGTTCTGCTTAGGGCTTTGTTAAAAGAGAGATAGAGAGGACTGATCTTTGGTATGAAATCTGCAAGGTTTACATAAGTGAACTCAAAGTAGCTTCCTGCATGTTGCGTAACATAACCCATGGTAACAAGTAACAAAAATCAGATTCACAAAAACATTTTAAATCAAGTTTAACTGATAAAGATAAAAAGATTTCTGGTTTATCTAACAAAAAGATTTTCAAATCTTGTTTTAAAGACCTTCATAATACCTAACGCATCTTTGATGTATTCCTCTTTTGACTGAGAGATTTCATCTGCACAATCTGAACGGATATATGTGAAAAATATTAGTATATTTGTGATTGTAAATCTCAGATGAGTGGAAAAAAAAATAGGGGATCAGACAATCACATCAACTTAACACATTGAGGTGAGAAGAAAAATGTAACTGAGGAAGGGTTTAAGATGTTGGAGAACACCAGACCTGAGAATATTATGGAAATTTATATGACTATTTGAACTGTGATGTAGTCAAGGCCAACTATCTTGCTACTTTCCTGTCATGACACAGGCTAGTATCTGCACAGATGTACTGAGTGGAAATAATAAAGCTTATGAAAGTCTGTTCCTTAAAATGATAAGAGTGGAAATTAAGCAGCATTAAAACAGCCACTGAAAACTTTGCCAGAGACTAATTGAAGTGTTTTTGTGGATATAATATATAAAATAGTCAAGCAGTTGGAGCAAGATTTGGCTGTTTTAAGAATTTGTGCTGGGGTTGTTTTTGAATTCCCTACTAATTGGCACAATGTGGTCATCTAAAAGAAAAGATAGTGGGCAACTTATAAGTAAAGAAAACACAACAGATCAGAGAGAACTGAGCAGGTCACAGTAAGAATAGCACTTAGGCGACAGTAGCTTTAAAACATACGTCAGTATGTGGAAGACTGCTGGTTAGAAATCATGGACGTCAGTGTCACATTCAGAAACATTTTAAGTGTTTGATGCTGTTTCAGATACCACTCAAGACTTTATGGTAGCTCAACTTGCTTAATGGATGCCAAGTTCTGGTTTGTATGCAGCATGTATCTGCATATAGTAGTGTTGTCAATCGTCAAGTTTTAGCTGGCACAGGCCACACTTTTTTTTACTGAGGACTTAGAGGGATGAATGCCATGTGCTTTCTCAGTATATGACAAAAAGATGAAATAAACCACAAGTGGTCATTCCTGTCATATATTCCTGTGGATGGGAAAAGGAAATCTGGATTTTCATCACCATGATCATATATCAAACCTAGTGGTCACTGGGAGAGAGAATAACAGTCACTTTTTAGCAGCCATAAGGTTTTATGTGGCTAGAGATGTATTTTTGTCCATAGATGAGGGGTCCTTCTGGAAAAGGGTGATGCGGTGCAAACCCTTGGCTGGATGACTC